TCAATGGAAGAGAAGGAGCAAAAAAAAAAAAATTTTAAAGTTAAACCATCTCAGGTCTATATTCGTGTTCAAGATTCAAATACTAATATTTTTTGTCGTAAAAAAGTGCAGTCTTTCCGATGTAACGAAATAATGTTTTTTGTGGTCTTAAAATTCTTTCCTTACACTGTTTTAGGGTTTTTTGTTATATTAAATTTTACTATAAATAAATCTTTTAATCTTATATTTATATTGAGTATTAATTTAGGACAACTACCAAATAGTATAAATTTGAGCATAAATGTTAGTTGGATAACTCCCATGTGTTCATTTCAATTTATAACTCCTTTTTCTAAACCGAATGTAAAATTTTTTATTTTTAAAATTTTTTTACAGCCAAGTTCCTATCCTGGTTTATACGGTCAAATATACGGTGCGGACCAAAGTTCTTTTCTCGACTTGGAATCAGCCAAGTTCTAGTATGAATCTGAACCCAAATCAAAATAAAATTCGATGTTATTGTTGGGCCCGGACCTGCGGCCCAACATTCTGAGCAGATCGCAAATCACCAAAGGAAGCAGAGGTCCAGCGAGTTCGGGAGAAGCCCAGCGGACTTCCAGAGGCCCACTCCAACTGTTAACCGCGATCTGACCACACCTAAGACACATCCGAACTGAGCTTGGTCAAAACAGGGGCATATTAGATCAACCACGGTCAGCTCAACTCTAGTTAAATCCGCCACCTCTCACTATAAATAGAGGTCAAAGATGATGTAAAACGCCATGATTTCATTCCTCGAAAAGCACAAGCACCGATACACGCGAGCTCTCTAAATTATACCCTTTATACTCAACATTTGGTAGTTCGGGGTCTGTCCGATCTACTACGATCTCTTAGCTAGCGACCTGATAACACGGGATCTGTCCGGATTATCTTTAGCGACCTATCTATATTCACCTCTCTTCGATTCAACTTTCTATATACGAGATTCTCCGACCTCCGATCTATTCTAAATTCATTGTCGACCTGCTTGGATCAACAGTTATTTGGAACT